CACCCATCACTGAGGGGTCGGGAATGGGTGGTCCAGGACATAGTCTGGTGTAAGATAAGATACCTGGATATCAAGAAAAAAAAAATTTATAATATGATTAATATGAACGCAACACAGTTACTATAATGAAAGAAAAAATCTTTTAAAATCATTTATGAAGCAACCACGGCCTGGGACGTTGCAAATCGTGCGTCATTGGACATGCATAGAGCTCACAACTGAAACAAAACTTTAGAAAAATAGAAAAATCGTATACGACAAAAGTATGGGCTCGCAAAAAGTTTACACGCTGCTCATAATGCGTCCACACAACTTTTAACTCGTAATTTTTCCACCGGAAAATTCCATAAACTTGAAGTCTTAAGGTTGAAGATGAAAAACAAACTTGGAAGTGATGACATAAACATATAGCTTAACCCTCAAAATTCTCGTGCAAGAAGAATTTTGACAGCTCAAAGCAAAATGCCAAACTCCATTAAAACTAATCTTCCAGAATTTCTTCCTTTTTGATGCCTATATAATCTGCTCACCGAAATGAATTAATCACTTCTCATAATTATAAGCAGCTTATAATCTTGAACTTCACTTCAAGAATGGCACTAGTAACAGCTGCTCACATGGCTTGCACTTTCGGAATTCTTGGTATATCTTTATATATATATAATCAATTTCTCTGAATTAGATCTGTACATATTTGAGCTAATCTTGTGTTTATTAATTTGAATTAATTAATTATTATTATTATTTTTTGCAGGAAATATCACGTCCTTCTTGGTGTTATTGGCACCAGTGTAAGAGTTTGATTTCTTATTAATTGTTGTTAATTTTAAAAGTACCGAAAAACACATCTGCATTTTACTTTTTTATTTCTTGGATTTCAGGCCTACATTTTACAGGATTTGTAAGAAAAAATCGACGGAAGATTTTCAGTCAATTCCTTATTCAGTTGCCTTATTCAGTGCTACGTTGTATTTGTATTACGCCTTTCTGAAGAATAATGTGATCATGCTTATAACCATCAATAGTGTTATATGTGTCTTCGAAGTTGTTTTTCTGACCATCTTCATGGAATATGCAACCAAGAAATCAAAGGTTATTCTTATCCTAAATAACCTCAAAACTTTTTTCTCTTTCAACCAATAAATTTGGAGTTTGGCACACATGAATCCTTTTTCGGCAACCCCGGCCTTTTCTAGCACTTCATCAAATTCATTCAACTGAAATTTGATGCTAATTCTACTCTTTCACTTCATACAACCACAAACTAAGCCCTTATTTTCAATAAATTAAGAGTCAAGGCTGTTCGACTCGCTAACTCAAGTTTTACCATTGCAGATTTTTACCACAAAGCTTCTCGTCCTATTCAATATAGGAACACTGGGAGTGATCATTGGATGCACATATTTTCTTTCAGAAGGGCATCAGAGAGTGACAATTGTTGGATGGATTTGTTCAGCTTTTTCTGTCTCTGTTTTTGCTGCTCCTCTAAGTATTATGGTAAAAAAAAAAAAAATCTATTTTACTATCCATTCATTCATAATTAAATTTACAAATATTTAGCAAAAATCTCTATTTGTTTTATGCAGAGGCAAGTGATAACGACAAAGAGTGTCGAATACATGCCACTTCCTCTCTCATTCTTTCTCACAATATGTGCTGTCGTGTGGTTCTTCTATGGTCTTTTCATCAAGGATTTATACATAGCTGTGAGTGCATTATAAGACTCTTCAAATTCATATTTTGTATTCTCGTTTTTGGTTATTTTTAGTAAAAATCTTCAAATCACTTTAGGACCGTGCACCTAAATTCTTTTTGTTATTTCTCTCTCTTATATTTTTGCCTAAATCCCTAAATAGTTTTCAATTTTGCCCTCATAATTAAATTTTTTTGAAATTTCCCCCCACAATTCTACAATCCTAGCTCCGCACTTGTTCCAAACAATAATATTTATTTCTTTTTTGCATTGTATATCTAAATCAGAGTCCGAATGTTGTTGGATTTTTATTCGGAATAGCACAAATGGTTTTATATGGCTTGTACAAGAACAAAGGGCAGCGAATAATTCTACCAGAAACTAAGCTGCAAGATATATCAACTATCATAGACCTGAAAGCACAAGATCAGATGCAGTATGCGTCAACGGTGGAGATTGGAGAAGTACTTGATCAAAATCATGGACAAACCCACAGAAGAACAGACTTGGATCCAAATGAAGCTAGCCTCACAGAATCTGCTACAGCAACAGACTCCATTGCGTAATATTGCTACCATGTTACATATGTATATGCATATTCACATCGTATCAAGAGCACAAATGTGTTGACATGTATCGAGAAGTTCGACTACAATAAAGATGGGAGAAAGCGAGAATATAATTTTTGACATAACATCACAAAGTTTACTGTGATATTAATTTAATTTTAAATATTTGATTATCTATGGACTCAGACTACTTAGTGTGGACAAGTTTGGATTGAATTATTTTCTTTATAAGAAATGTATAAAGTAGAACACATATTTCAACCAAAAATATCCTAACTGATATCGCAATTTAATTTATTTCAACCAAAAAAAAAAGGCACAAGCTCCATATGTTGTTGGATTGTTTTTGGGAATAGCGCAGACGGTTTTATATGCCATATACAAGAACAAAAGGCAACAAATAATTCTACCAGAACTATCATAGACCTGAAATCACAAGATCTGATGCAGAATTCATCAACGATGGAGGTTGCAGCAGTAATTGATCATAACCATGGACAAGCCCACAGAGGAACAGACTTGGATCCAAATGAAGCTAGCCTCGTAGAAAATGCTGCTGAAGCAGCAACTCACTCCACTAGTATAGTATGAGTGCATGCAGAGCAGAGATGCCTTGATACTTTAAGATATGTAAGGCCTATTGTCCAATTATTGAAGGCTACTCATTTATTAATATATATACATGTATATTGGCTTTCTTACATAGAATCTACATTTCGTATATCGACTTAATTTCTTGCCTCTCTCCGTACATGTATATATAGGCGTCAAAAAGGGAGAATTTTGCGTATTATCTACATCCGGATGAGATTTTATGATGAAAAAGATACTTTAACGGTCGAATTTTTGGCTAAAGATCTGAATTATATCATCTTCCTTCTATTAATTCTTAGCCTCGTTCACAGCAAGATTTCATACTTAGCCCTTGTTTGGCCCCCATTAAAATTTTAATACATTTTTCTATCTCTTCTTTTCGACCACGTTCTCTAGCAAATAAACTACATGTAATTCAAAAAAGTTTCCTTGTTTTTTAACCACAAATTCTCCCTAAAAGTACTATTCCAAAATACATTATTACAAAAATCTCATTATAATGGGGGCCAAACAAGGGCTTAAATGAATCATCATCATCATCATAACCTTTTGTTCAAGGTGGAGTTGGGGTGGGGGTGGGAGGTTGTCAATTCCAAATTTTGCACAAAAGCATTATTATTACGTATTTAGCGTCATAGATATATAATAGATGAAAATTTGTTTCTCTTCTGTATGAGTATGTTTGGCAAAGCAGAAAAAAGTAAAAGCTCTGCTTAAGTAATTTTTTTTTCCCTAATTAGAGTTGGATTAAATTACAAATATTATATTACTCAATTTTAATGAACTAGTATGGTATATGATGCAGGAGGGTCCGAGTCAGATGAAGCCGAGTTGTCAGATAGCTCGTTGCTGGCGCTAATGTACCATGAGTTGGCGG